CAATGGACCTGTGTGGTTTGGGCTATAAGAAGTAGAACACTGGTAAAAGTAGCAAATAAATATCGGAAAACAGCACGATATATTGAGCTTAACATTCCTTCCATGGCTCTTGAATCATTGTAACTACATAATAAAACTCCTGCTTCCTTCATCCAATCCTCTCACTTGCATGAACAAGGGAGTCAAGGATGCACCATTTCTTCACTTCAGATGTGTCACAGTGTCACACATTGCCTGTGGTTGTAGTATAGAAAATTGGTATACACTGAATTTTAAAGCTGCTCCCCCTCTGGGGTCCTTTTGTGGCCAGCCAACAGTGAATAGAAAGCGGCACACAGAACCCTGGGGAGAGAAGAAGCTTGGGCAAATAGTCCACAGCCATTACTGACAGCTCTCTGGTTTCTCTGCCAGTCGTGCCCCTGTGAGCTCACCTTTTACAGATATTTCATAGGATACATTGAAGCTTATTGTAAAGCACACTGAATTTAATATAACTCCAGAGATATGTAGTCCAAATAAAGCAGATGACTTCCTCCATATTCATCCTCCTCTCAATTCCCTCTCTCCCTGACGTCATTCATTTATCTTCCGCTTCATCCTCCATTGTCTTTCTCCTCAGGCCTTCTCTGTTTAGTTTGGGGAATATTTGATTGGCAGGTTGTAACGCAGTAGGGCTGACATTGAGAAAAGGTCTTATCTGTAAGTAGCATTGCTTCTTATAGTAATTTCAGAGAATAGCCAAATGAATGCTCAGAAATAGAGCACACACAAATGTTGACGCTGAGAAACAGGGACATACATGTAGACAACCACATGTTTGTGGGTATGAAATCTTCCAGTCAACATACTATGCAGTGTTTCACATGAAAAGAAAAAACAGCTTAAATAAGTATACACACAGTAGAAGAATATATATTGCCACACAAAGGAAAACACTCTTATGTGTTTAGTTAAAGATTTCTTCTGCGTTATTTAAAGGCAAACTATAGGAAAGCCAGTAGAGGTGGAGTGACATTCAGCTAAGGTCATGCGCCAGACCTGTACCCATGATGTCATCACCACATGTCTTACAACTACAACCACTACGACACCAGCAGCTTTTATATGGGGATGTAAAGCAGGAATAGCTGTAAAAAAATAAAAAAAAGTATTTCAGTCAATATAATGCTTTTAGTGTAAGAGGTTGAAATTGAACGAGTCAATACCCAATGATAAATAATCTAATCTAAGATGGATTGCACAGTGCCATACAGGGCAGGCAAATGTAGACAATAATGTTGTAAATTGTACAGACTGGATGGTCATGGTGTCTGGCAAAGATGATAAAAATACAATACACTACTGGGATGTAATGAAGGAGGGTCACCATGGTTGAAATGTCATTTTATAAATAAGTAAAGAGCCACTTAAATTGGCACTTTTGTGGTGGCATTTCTCCTGGAGTTTTTGAATCTGATCTTTCTTTTATGTGCTGTTGCTAACTGAATACTAGGACCCTCAGTTTCCACAAGCACAAATAATGATCTGCAAATACTTGCCAACCCAGGTGGTCTTCTGCTGTACACAGAACTGTCAGCGAGCACATACAGTTCAGCGATGAACCCGAGCTGGGCTGACACTGAAGGTGGAGACTGTAGTAGCGTAGTTAGCACAAGCAGCGAGAGGCAGGATGAATGGGCCGACTCAAGAGCTTTGCACAGTTATTTCTCCACAGGCAGGGAGCTCTACCTCATGAGTTCAGCCCTCACCTGACTCTCTGTGCTCCACTCGTCTGTCTTTCCAGTGAAATATAGGGCATGCTAAACTAGCCCAGGGACCACTCTGCTGCTGGAGGAGGGACACACAATGTACACTCTAACATCACACATTCAGACAGGTGCATTGGCGAGTACAGTAAAGTGTGAGAATGCATGCATGCGTGTTTGTATTGTCTATATGCTTCTGCGGGATATTGTGCATTCATGTGTGGGTTTGTGCATATGTGTCCCCCCTCAGAGCTCTGCAGAGGAGCCTCGCTCTCTGATTAACAGTGATGAGTGGCTGACGATGGTGAGCCCAACCCCTCTGTCACTCAGCGAGAGCTTTTATCTAACTCCTTGGGGGATTATGCCATGTGATGTCGGCACAGTGCTCCTGTCTTAACTCTGTGCCCTCATCTCACACTCTTATCTCTATCACCTCCCTCTCTTTTTTTGTCTGTCTCCCCTGTACACTTAAACACACACACAGACCCACCCACCCCACCACAGACACTGGCACAGACAGACTGACAAGAAGACAGGAAGAGCGGATTGCCCGAATTGAAAGATCGGTAGTTCGATTCCCAGCTCCATCAGTCTGCATGTCGAAGTGTTCTTGGCAAGATACAGAACTCCATATTGCTGAGTGTCTGAATGAATAGTTTATTTCTTTCTCATGTGCAGATGGCACCTTGCATGGGTATGTGTGCGAATGGAGTGAATGTGACATGTAGGAAAAAAATGCTTTGAGTAGTCAGAAGACTAAAAAGGGCTTACAAGTACAGTCCATTTCTCTCTCACCGTTTGTATTTGATGACATTAGTATTGAGTGTTTTGAGGGGAAACTGGTGTGATGAAGAAGTCTATTTCACTTCCTCTGCTTGAGAGGGTAATATAAGGGATATACAGTATAATACACATTTGCACAATTCTACAGCCAAGTATGAGGTCGGAGCACCACATGAGGTCCAACACTCAGGCTGCAGCCTCTCCTAATGGGAGTGGCAACGGGTTACTGTGCTTCTTTTCATGAATCCTTGGAAAGGCTCACACTGCACTCCAGTGGCGCATAAAAGAATGACATCTTTAGGTATGACTGATTATTAACCAGAGGCTATGCTGGAGTGAAAAAGGTGGGGCACAAAGCAACTGAGAGCATATTACCTGACAGGTGAGTGCCCAAAGGGAAGCTGGGAGGCTGGTAATTACTATGCAGGATTTATTTAACTGTAGCCTGGGCCCTAGAGACATCATGTTTTGTGTATATGCAATTATCCCCCTGTGGAACTAGTATCTTTAAGAAAGTAACTCCACTGGAAATGTCTATTGCATCCGTTTATTTGCCTTCTTGTCAAGAGTTAGATTATGAAGATACCACTGTTACGCTGTCTTTTACCTGTGTTAAATTTGAAGCTACATCCCATTAGCTTAAAACAGCTAAAACCTTACCTCTTACAGATTACCTCTGTCTAAGGTGTCAAAACCTGCCTACCAGCACCTCTAACGCTCACCAATTAACATGTCATATCACATAGTTTGTGTAATGCATACGAAATCAACAAAATGTGGTTTTACAGCCCAGACTATTTCCTAAATACTATCAGTGACTTTCTGGAGTCTTGTAGGCTAAGCTAACTGTTGCTAGCTGTAGCTCCATATTTACCACATGCGAGGGGTGTCTGTGTTCTCTCTCGGCAAGAAAGCGAATAAGCTTATTTCCCAAAATGTTGAACTGCCCCCCTCCAGTGTATTTTGACATTTCTATGATATTTCATATTTTTCTGAGTCATTTCCTTACAATGTTGATTACCCACATAGTTCGGCAAATATTTTTTGAAAAATGGCTTAATTTTGTGCTCGAAGTTGCAAAAGTTGCTTAGTTGTTAAAATGGGCTGGTGACGTATGACTATAGTAATTCCATAAGTCAGACGTCATTCTCCAAACTTGCGCAGGCGCACTGTAATGCCTCGTTAACGCCGTCACGGCTGGTTAAGTCAGAGGTCAAACCGATAAACATTGTTGTGACCTCGCTAACCAATCATGTAATTTGCTTAGAACTTACAGTAAGTATGTCCCTCTGGGTCTGATTGTTGGTTTGTCTTTCTAGTTTAGTTAGCTAAGTTAATTAAGCTGTAGTTAGCCAGGTGTAGTTAGCTAGCATAGTTATTGCAGAAAGTTAGCTAACAGAGGGTCTTCATGTTATTTTTTTGTTTCCTCCTCTTGGTTTAGTGTGCTGGTCATTTTCATTATGGCATTTGGAGGACAGATGACGCGTCGCACTTTCACCTGCCACCGTCTTATACACAGTCTGCAACATGCATGTTACTGACGGCCGTTTCACCAGTGCATCGGCGGAGGCACCCACCACACCCCCGCGGTAAAGTAAGCGCACCACAAAACGTAGTGGGAGTTATCGTGTGCAGTGCGTGACAGGACCATCGACTGTATGATTGATAACAGCTGATACGTGCACATTAGTTTTTATCATGGGTAAGTAATAGCTTCTCCTGCCAGACAGTAAAGTGTACTAAACTTTACAGTGTAGTGATGTTAACACAGCATATCGTTAGTGAACACTCCACCCGGTCAGTTTTTGGTTGTCATGGTAATGTATTACGTCCGACTATTAGCCACACCCCCATTCTCTGTTTGAGAAAGAACGTTAACCAAAAACGGCAGTTAAAACTGGCTGGAGGGGGCTTTACAGGTATATACATATCTGAAATACCAGCAGCAACAAAGTGACAAAATAACACCAAGCTAACATAAAGATGATGCCTTCAGAATAACATGACTGGAAATAATAGACAGAAATAATTGGTTCAGTCTTTCATTATATGCTGTATAGGCCTACATAATATGCGCTACTTTAGAACATACTGCGGTCTTTTTGTTAATGACGATATTTTTACATAATCTCACACTAAATCATCTTCAGGGCCCTTTTTTAATTTCCTTCCCACAGTTAAGAAGGTGAAATTCATTTTAATCTATGAATGCAAACCAGCACAGCACAATATGTCATACACAGAGATATAACACAAAGGTCAAAATGATTGGAATAAGAAAAGAAAAAACTCAAGAAACCAAGCTCCCTCGTATCTTAAATGTCATTTTTGGGAACGTAAATGCCAGGAGTTAAACTGACTGATGAATCTTTGGAGACAAAAGAAAGAAATAAAGACAAGAAAACAAAGGTGAGATTAAAGTTATGCTGAACAATGCAGAGCTTGGTTGAGATAAAAACACTCACCGAGCCGTACTTTTTTCAATGTTTATTTACAGAAGAGTGGTTTGAGAGTTGCTGTAAGTTTTGACATTTTCACATATTGTAACACAGTGGAAATAATTCTACAAACCATCCTGTGACAGTTCCTCTGAACAAGCAATGTTTCTATCACAAATCATGGCTACGGTCGCCATGACTAACACTGAGTAATCCATCTGCCATTTTACAGACTAAGAAAATTGCACTTCTAGAGATGTAAAGATGACAGTCCACAGTTGCTCATGGCCCAAGAATAAGTGCTTATCTATTAAGTGCTCCTACAATTAGCTCCTACAGTAGCATCTTTTGACACGGATGAGGTCTTGTTTGAGACATTATGATTTCAAAGGTGTCTGAGTAGCTGCAGAGCGTCGCTGGTGGCACATGACCACAGATTCTGAGTCTGTGCTTGTACATTCTGAGAAGCACAACTGAGCTGGTCCACACAAAACTATCGAAGATGTACAAAAAATGCACAATTATGTGACATCACTGGACGAAGCAGCTCACCACAAAGCACCAGAATCTACTGAGAACAGCCAGAGAGACAGAAAATACACTGAGTGATTTGTACAAAACAAAGTATAATTTATGCATAAGAGTTTTCCTTGATTTACTTTCCCAAAGGACAAAATGAGGCTATTTTTGACAACAAGTGACATGTATCTGAGTCGTATATGCTGGCATGATCCTCTACAATTTCATGCAAAAATGGGGCACCTGAGTAGAGAAGAGACAATTTTGAAATGGCTGTCTGCACTGAGAGGTATGACCTGTGTGGGGAGGATGTCCTTTTAGCCCTACTCCCTTCTTAGTACTTCTAGGTTGTGTTAAAGTGGTATTCTATCAAAATGTGACTCTGTTATTAAGCAATAGCAGAAACATTTTTGCTGTTTCTCCTATGATTTTTGTTTGAAGCAGGGGTACCTTCTGAGTGATACCAAACTTGGTCATAACTACTATTGCAGAATAACAATGTAAAAGTTAATTTAGATTACTTCCACTGACCCCTCCACCAAGAGACTAAACAATCCAGGTCACTGTAATGAGCAAAAACTCACTGAGGTAAAAAGAAACAGTCAATCCTGTCCACTATGGAAAAATTCACGAAACAACAGGATGCTTACATATACGTATATATGTTCTACTCCTTTCAAAATGTGCAGTAGCAAGAAACTGATTAGAATTAAATCAATGAGTTACCAACATGAGGTATGCTGTTTAAAAAAAACTTATTAAGGAGGTTGAAATGAACAAAATAATAAGTATATATCATCTCTACAAAATGAGATATTTTCCAGATCTGATTGTTTTACCCAACAAAAAGACAAACAAAAGAATGCATGTACATGTATTTCAAAGATAGTAGTTAAAAGAGTTAATAGAGCTTCTATAAGGAGAGCATATATCCTTTATGCTGCATGCAGGTTTTATGCTAATCTCCATTTCAGATCCTCTGTGTTGGTTCCACAGGCCACAATAATCCACTACTGCATTGAGACTTTAAACACAGGCAAAACAGCATGGGTCAAAATATTTTTTGGGGAAAGAGTAATTTACATTGTACAATTTCAGTGTCCAAAAAAGAGTTTGGCAGCTACATTATCATAAAATCTAACTCCTGCATCGCTGATGTGATAGTGTCTTTGATGAATTGAATAATATCCCAAAACTGCAACTCACTGGCACAAATCAATTCATTTCCATTAGAACAAATTAGTGCAGTGGTGTAGATCATTTACTTTCTCTGTTACTGGGCAGCAAATAATTTGTACTTTATGTTTGTCTACTTGATTGGTCTGTCTGCAGTGACCATAGAGATGTTTTCACTTTCCACAGTTGCTTTACAGTCTATAGAAATATACAGACAAAATAAAAATCTTGTGTATTATTTTCTTATTAAATTGGCCATGTTAAGTGAGGGAAAACTTTGCAAATTTTATACTCAAATAATCTCAATATTCAAATGAAATGTCTAAAAGGCAATTTCATTTTTGTCACCTTTTTGTCAACTTATGGCCCTGATTCAGTGACCTCCATCCACTTGGCTGTAAGCTGCAAATACTGCAGCTTAGGCCTCAATATGTGCGTATGGTGTAGTGAATGGAAGAACTGAACCCAGGTCTGGATGAAAACTATCAGAGCAGCAGCAACACAGGGATTTTAACACGTCTCTTCTTAAGGTAGCATGGCTAATCATGGCTGCCGTTGACTGAGAGAGGTATGTTTAAAATATCAAACTGGAATGCTTTTGAGACTATTATGCTTCTCTCTGGACACAGGACATACAGGCTTTTGAAGATGATGAGAATCAGTATCAAGATAAAACAGTTTCAATAAAGAACCCGGGTCATAAATATACACACATTAGTTTTGGTGGTTAACGTCAGCTGACTGCATTTCAATGACAAATAGTCCTCAAACCACAGGACAGAAAGCTGTGTCTGCACTGCTCTCTATACATTTAAATTGTCACCCAAATCAATGATGTCCCAGCAGGTGTTTACTTTTAACAGCTGATGGAAACCTGCTCTGACATCACTAATTGGAGTGTAACCACATGCAAAACAGGCCTGAGGCCTGAGGCTGAGTGATGCAGCAGCAGTTTCCTCCCACCAGTGAGCTTGCTGTGGAATTGCTCTTTATGTACCATTTAAGTGTGTTTTGCCAAATAGCACAGTATAGTGAATGCCATACATTTTTTGAAGTCTGATAAGAAGGTATTTCATAAACATTTCTGTAACTGACAATGTGTAAATCTGATTTCTCCTGATGTGGCAAACCCCACGCATTTACCCCCATAATACCTTCTAATTAATGTTTGACCCAGGTTCGCTAAGAACACATTCACATCTGTCCCTATATGACTGCTACTGCAGTAAAAACAACAATCTAGTTGTGATGTTAAGTACATACATGGCAATGCTAATAAAAAATAAGTCTCTTTGAGGTACCAACCATACATTTTGTTCAGAAAATCAAGAACAATACTTAGTTTTAAAGAAAACACAATTATGTTGGTGGGAAATATGTTCAGGGTGTTTCATATATGTCATGAGGAACCATTTACATTTTTGTTGCTGATGTGATTGAGTTAAGTTGATGAGATGACACTTAAATGGACATGGATAGAAACATGGGCAGGATACAATCGTTTGGATGACTAGAAGAAAGCCCCCTGAGAGAAGATGAGACATCATGTACAAAAGGGCAAAATTCTGTCATTCTTTGACGTGGATATCGTTACTATTATTAATATTATTAACTGATCACACCTTGGCAAACTTTCAATTTTCTTAGAATCTATGTATAACATATCATTAATCATCTTATATTGCACTCCTACAGAGTAACCCTCACCCTTTCTGAGTTAAAACAGTTTAAGTATCAGCATCCTTAAAATAGTCTCTTTGATGTGAAGTACCTAATGGAACCAGCTTGCAAGTTGTCTAATAAGACATGGATACTTAACCCAAAGATGGTGCCTCTACAGTCCAATAAGAATTGCTTGCTTGACACATAGGCCAAAAAAGTTTCCAGCTTCCAGGTTTACTTCTGGGGGGTATATGACCCACTGAGGATGTCGCACAGCAGTAGTTTAACTAATATCTCCAATCAAAACTTTATAATGAAAAGAGTCATAATTGACCTTGTTTGCAGTTCTAGGTGTCCTGTCAACAGTTTTACAAATGTCTCTTATAATGGTGGTCTATGGGGAAAATGCTTTTTGGGCTGCAAGTGGACACCAGGCAAAACTGGAAGCCAAGATGAGCGGCTACTTCATATCCAGGTCTTTCTATAAATCCATGCTTGGTTGGTGAATTGCTGTAGCTGGCTAGCTGAGTAGTGCCAACCATTCACAACTGCTACTACTACTACTACTACTATTACTGTTCTGTTTTCTTCCACCAAAAATAGCTAATGAGCTAAAATGGCCTTCTCCATTTTGGACTACGACTCTCCATCCCGTCTAAGGTTAGCAAAGACGGCTTGCTAATGGTCAATGTTGCAAATTCTCATGTCAAAGTTCACAGAAATTTAACTCTATATTACCACAGCTTAATTTTGCCTCCTCTGATCACTGCAATTTTGATTCATTCCAATGGAATCACTGTTTTAAATGCTGGTATGACCAGGCATTTACAGTTTTTATTTTATTTTTTTATTGTTTCCTTTGAATGTGATTAATTTTTGGTTTTACATTTTACATCATAGCTGGACCTTGTTTTAGGTGCTTTATATCAAAGACACTGGGTGTTTATGTTTTCTGTGGAGCTGTAGAAAACAGTAACCTAATACTGAGTGACACAATCTTTCAGACATCCGAGAAGAAGCTGCAGTGCACTAAAGTGATATAATTCCTTTGACAAAACACAAGAACATACAGTCACAGTGTCGGACAATAATTTCTGTAAATAGCAAAGGCGGATAAGTCAGACAAGTTAAGAAAGTGATCTTAAAAAGGTAATATACAAAAAACGAATGAAACCACACTGGAAGCCATCCTGAAAAGAAATGAGGTAGTGTTGTCGGTAAGGAGTAGAGATGCGCCAGTTCCAATTTTACACTGGCAAAATCAACACTGACTCACACAGCTTCACATATGGGTCAATTATGGAAAGCAAGCTGATTGAATACTTAAAGGAATATATTGAACTGTTTGGGATCAATGTAAAAGAAATAGAGCACATTTATTTATTTATTTCTCATCAAACTCCTTTCCTATCTGATAAATGCAGACATTTCAAGTCAGCTTTTGTTAATTTATGGTACTGTAGCAGAGTAGAGCATTGTGGAAATGTTCTCATACAGCTGGAATCAGATGGGCTTGTCGAGTCAAGTTGAATTTCCCTGGAATTAAAAACATGGCAAGCACTTCACATACAACTGACTATACAGAGTTAAAAATGACAGCTAATGGCACAGAATTGCATCGGTACATCCCTAATTGGAAGCCAAACCAGAAGAGTGATCAGACAGATGTGTTGTTGTGACATCTCCTCTAGTTCTCCCACCAACATAATTACACCAATACCAACATGAACTTTAAAATACTTTGATTCCAAAATGAGATCTCCACCATCTGACAGCAAAACCACCTTTTACTTTTCATCTGAGTGTCCCTGCTTTACAAAATCACACCCGGATATATGGCATTTCAGAAAAGAATTCTTCACGTGTACCAAATCTGTATACTCACATGTTTTTACAATTTAAGTGTTTTTGTCTTCATATTGAGATGTGTTTTGTATTTGTACTGAATATAATCCTATATAGAAATATACAGATTATAAATTCACCTACGATAATTAGGCACCTGAGACCTCCACACTCCAGTCAGGAAATGAAATGTGTGTGCGTAAATGTGTGTTCATGGGTGACTGTGAGTTTGTGTGAGATACCATTGGAATCAGTTATATTATAGCTTTCTGTGTGTGTGTGTTTGTGTGGACCCTGAGACAGCAGGAGGCAGGAGAGAGATACAGGTGTTCTGCATTCTCAGAGTGTGCAGATACTCTTTAAGGCTTATTCCTCAGTGCCACAGTAAAGTAGCATCCACCAGACAAAGCCCAGAGAGACCCATTGGGACTGCGCTTCCGAACCAAACATCCAGGATGACAGCCCATCTCACTCACGGAACATCCCATGCTTTCTCATTCCTGAGTGGAACAGAGCCATGTACGACACAGTGGGAATAGCCTCCTTCAGTCCACTTCCATCTGCTTGGTTAGTTAAATCTTTCTTTTCTTTCCAACCATTGGGAGGGAAACCCAGAGGAAAATATTGTACCAATGCCAGAGAATGCATACCCATATACAGTACTCTACCACTAAAAATATACTGTATATATTTACTGTATATACACACGTATGAAACAATGGATTCAAAGTACTTATAAAAACTTTGCAAGGAAGAGAAAGGAATCCGATTATGAGGTGCATAAAAATAATATTTAGGGATTCTTCCTGGGTACGTAAAAGAAAGAAGATCAGTCTGTACTGTATGTGTGTGTAAGGGTCGTTGCCCGACGTGCAGAGGCTACGGGCACAGATAACTGTGTGCTGCTGAGGTAGAGTGGACAAAGCCGGAGCTGACAAAGGGGGCAGGGGACAGCCCGGCAGAGATAGTTTTCCCTGGTGCCGAAGGGCAGTGTCTGGAGTCCCCATTTTCCAGATGCTCCGCCCTCAGTACAGACTGCATGGTCTTTGGGGAGTGGAAGCCATTGGTTAGCCCCATGTCCTGCTGTGGCTCTAAGTCTTTGTTTGGCTGGTCTCCAGTGCCTTTTAGCTCCCCGTTGTGATTGGCCACCAACTTTATCGAGAGAAGATTTGAGGGGCTTTGGGCCAGTTTTTCTAGATTATCCTCCTCTCCTGGTGGGGTTGGCTGGCTCAAAGGGGAATATCTCTCCTCTGATAATGAGGGTCCCCTGGTGGTGTTAGTATCCTTTACGCTGCCCTTCTCCTCTTTCTCTGTCCCTGGATCTGCCAGCTCTGAGTGAACGATGACTTCTGCCTCCACCCGGTTACTGCACATGGATGTACACAGACGATTTAAGTCCTGCAACAAAACAATTTAACTGTTACTTCAGGTTCAGTTCTATTACCGGTAGTTGATCTGCCCAGGTAACTCAAACATTCATAGCTTTTTGGTTAAGTTGTACAATGCACAGTCTATATAATAGCTACTCCTTAGCACATATTCTTAGCGCAATAGAACATTTTACATAGATATCAGCAATGCTCAAAATGGACTATTTGCTAAACCCCTCCCCTGAACAGCATTGGTCAAGTCAACGCTTAGGAACTCTGACTGGCCTGTCAAGTTTAGAATTTTTCCACATATGGGTGGTATATTTTTTTGTTTTTCCAAAAACAAGAGCAAAAGTGTGAGGAATAGATTAAACAGTTTTATCTACTCCAATGTAAGCTCATCTGTCAGCATGTCCGACTAACTAGCTTGCTGCACCGTAGTAAATATTACTTCCAGGGCCAAGGAGCACGTAATTAATTCACTAGGTCACATTAGTATGTGTGGTTGCAGGTTATTTGAAAAAAAAAAACCCAGTCACGACTAGCACATCCATTGTGTAGTAGTTTCCCACTGTAAGTCAAGTTAACAGTTTTGTAGTCTGTTGCACCAACTGAGTGTAAGTTTAAACTTAGCCCAATTATAATGTAAATTATTACTAAGTTGTGATTTATGCATTACTAAAATAAAAGCGGCTGTCCCACAAAGATAAGTTACAACATAACTAAAAGTAACAACTAAATAGATACACATACCCCAGGGTAGGTGTAAATCATAAAATGTCACAGAATAGCCGCAGAGCATAATTTTTTCATTGCATGCCAATTTTTCATCACATTATTCCAGTAGAGACTTAATTTATTTATATGATATTTCAATATCAAAATCACTTTACCACAATGTGCTACAATTCGAAAGTAGCTCCTGTCAGCCAGAAAGCTAATGCACGTGGTAACCAAAACGATGAAACTCTATCTTAGATCGTTTATTTGCTACTTGATTTTAAATCCAAACTAGTTAGGTTATACCCCAAGTAATTGTTAGTAGCTGATTTAGTCACAACCTAAGAAGTAGTTACTAAGCCTCTTGTGTTCTTACACCTAACTTGGAGATAACTTACACACAGCTGGTACAACTCAGTGCTGCTCCAAATTGGATTTGGGGAAACTCACTTAGTATTGTAGTGTTTGCTAAACACATGAGTCAGTCCTCATACTAACAGCCCTTTCCCTTGTAACAATAATAGTAAAAAAAAACATAGGCTACCATTTGAAAGTATGAGTGATTTTTGATTCAACCCTCTCCCTTGAGCCCCACATCCGTCATGTCATTTAAACCTCCTTCTTTCACCTTCGTAGCATTGCAAAAATCAGACCCTCACTCACACCCTCTGCTGCTGAAAGACTCATTCAAGCCTTTGTCTCCTCACGGCTGGACTACTGCAACTCACTACTCCTTGGTATCAGCTCAACCTACATAAAAAGACTCCAACTGGTCCAGAACTCAGCCGCACGACTCATCACCCGCTCCAAATCCTGGCACCACATCACTCCAGTCCTAAAACAACTACACTGGCTTCCCATTTCTCACCGGATCACATACAAAATCCTGGTCCTTACCTACAAAGCCATTCACCACCTGGTCCCTTCATACCTCACTGTCCTCCTTTCCCCCTACCAACCCTCACAGTCCCTCAGATCCACCTCACCGGTCTCCTCTGCGTCCCCAAGTCCAAGCTCCGCAGCAGGGCAGCTCCCAGGCTCTGGAACTCCCTCCCCCATGAGATCCGCACCTCTGAGTCCCTTACCATTTTCCAGTCCCACCTTAAGACCCATCTCTTCACCTCTGCCTATCCGTAGCCGTTTGTTGTCATGCTTCTTTAAAGCGCTATACAAATTCAATTTATTATTATTATTATTGTTATAAGTATGACAAATGTTTTGACAAATGTATGACAAATATAGCTAGCTGTAGCTAATAAAATCTGCCAGCCACTTTCTGAAATCAAAAACTCACTATCTAAAAGATTTAAACAAATCTGAAGTGGTAAACCTGTTGTAATATCATTGTAAACTGCAAAAGTGCAAGAATGGAAAGCTTGACAGCAAAAGTAACTAAAGGGGGCCTTGTCTGCCATTTAGAAATGCCATTTGGCCCAGTGATGCTAAAGCTTGTCACAGGTTAGGTTAGTCATTCAATTCAGTTAATTCATTTACCGTGCCGTTATCAGTAATTAGCATGTTGAGAGCTCCATTAATGAGTGTCGGAGAGTCTTCTGTTATGGTGTCTCTGTATCTAGTGATTCTGTTGGCCCAGTTATGACTCACAGAGCCATTCCAAGCTGCCTGCAAGATGAAGAACACAATGGATGCGCCAAAATTAAAACGATTATCCCTCTATTAACACGTGAAAAAATATTAATCCCAGGCCCATCTGGAAAATGAGTTGCCCTTTGCAGGTTTTGACCTTGGGTTCAGGTGCAGGGGCATCCTCCTCTTCCTCTGGATTAACACTTGACATCAGGCTCTGTTCCTCTGGGGCCTCTTCTAGTGGCTGACCAGGCTCTTGGCTGCCTGGGGGCATCAGTGTCTCCAGCTCATGGCTATCGCTGCACTCCGGCAGGTTCGAGGGAAGGGGGCTGCCTCCTCTCCTGAACTGAGGGGTCACAGCTGTGGAGTCCAGGCCACCTGACATCTCCCTATTTGGAGAAGAGAGTAGAGGTATAGTGTAAGAGATGGGCACTAGAGAAGGCTATACATTAATACAGTAGCCTGGGTTATTTTAGATATCTTTTTGTTTATAAGACAACACTTGTTTCAAGTAAGTAAAAGAAATAAGTACTGTACAAGTAGTGACAAGTTACCTTACCTGGATTTGCTATTACGAAAGCTGAAGCACATGCAGAGGAGGATGCATATCAGTCCCAGACACACACCGACTATGATGCCTATCACTGCATGGATCTTCAGTTCTGTTAAAATATAACATGGAAAAGGAGAAAAACATCTAAGAATTAACGTAAACAACAATCAGTGCAACAGATTTACACATGGCAGACCTGTTCTATTATTACATCTTGAAAAAGAAGAGTATTATAATGACATATCTAGTTTGAAACACTATTTGACTCTGATGGAAAGAGGCTCTTCAAGAATGTATTGATTCATTCATTTAAGACAAAGTTACAGTAGTGAAGAGATATAAGGAAACATTCAACTAGGGAGAGCAAATCTTCATTGATATTCATTTATGCTGGGTATCTTTGGCAGCCTGAACATAGAGAGGAGAAGAAACAGATGGCGGGAGCTCTCACCCACCCACCAGCCATCTCAGTCCCATTCACACAAACAAAATAAACCTGTTACTCTGTCATTTTATTAAAGAAAAAAATTCACTACATTCCCACTTCTTATTGCATCGGGAAGTTTAACGTTCAGATATTCCAAATATATGATCTTTCTGACAGTGAGTTCCCACCCATGTTTCACTTAAAGTAAAGACTAAAAACAAATTACTGTATATGTAAGTACTATAGGTTGGTGGATAGCATGTACACAGCAATATTCCTCTTAGCTGCGTGTGAGAGAGAAATAAAATACTTAAATATTACTTTTCATTGTTTTATTATTTTCATTGTTGATTGCACTGTTTGTAAGGACAGTGATTGTGACGGGCTTATGTTGGATAACAGTTCACAGGGGAGTTAATGGTTCTGTATTTATGAGTCACTCAGTATGAAGACAAAATGGGCATTTAATAATTACAGGTAAAGCTAAAATGCTGACTGATGGAATTAAAAAGTGTATAATGAGAGTGCATGCTTAAACACAATATGAGATGAGAGTAAAGAAAGTGCTTTTCACAGCAGTTTTGCTGGATACAAAGGGCAATAATTCAAAGACCTCCCCTGGGGGTCGCAGATGAGGCCGCTCCTTTGATGTCCACACTTAGTATTGTTCTCAAAATGCACCAGAAAAGGAGAAGAGAAACAACAGCATCCTGCTAAGCTACCATTTCTCTGCTGGAGGGGGACAAATTACTCATTTTAATAGGAAAGACTGTGTGTGCATGAGTATGGGTGTAAATGTGTGAGCGTGAGCTTGTGTCTCTTCTTATGGAAGCAAAAACGGACATAATATTTTAGAATCTTAGAAGCATCTGAATACCCTATTGTGAAATTTAACCACAATTGAATACGTGTTGGCATTTAAATTCCACAGAATTTGTAGCAGTGATTGATTTAACTTTAAAACCATCTCTGAATTTGTGCGGTTTGAATTCTCCCCTTTTAAATGTCTAAAAGGTTACAAAAGTGGGGCAATTTCAAAAACATGATTATATTATTATATTATTTATTTTTGTTTTTGTCAGGTAGAAAATTGAGGTGTCCAGTACTGTATTAGTACTGTACTAATAAGTAGTAGTAGTAGTATTGTAATAAAAATGGTATACAAGTTGCTTAAATGCATCAAGTCAAAGTGAAGTCTTTAAAAAAAAAAACTTGAACATGTGGACAATCAAGATCAGGTAGTTGGTGAAATATTTCAATCCTATACTTTCCAAGTTATTTCAAAATTATATGTTTAACAAACATTTAAATCACTATGCATGTTGTTTCCACATCTGCTTGTATGTATTATTTTACCTCTGTTTTCTAAGCACTGAAAGTAATTATTAATGGATTATGTAGCATCAACAAACTATATAAAGACATAAATGAGAGAGATGACACATTTCATTCTCCTGGCAGTGAATCCACTGTCTCAGCGACAGAAAGCTCTGTTTCCATTCACACATTTCTGCTTTCCCACACTACCAAAGCTCATTAACAAATTGAATTTGTCACCATATCTAACCAAACCACGTTATATAAACTCACTGTTGGTGGATGAGGTTGATCTTTAAATAGCATTGCCACTGTTTCAGTCTCTGTCTTTTTTGGTAAATCTTACTTCTATCTTTTTTTAATAAAGTTGACTAATTGTAACAGTTTATTAAAAAGACATTACATATTGATCTTTCTTTACCACAACCACAATTACTGCTACTAGCGCTCTTAAAATGACTATTTCTTCTTTTCCTATTATAACTGTATGTCACCTATATATGTGTTGCATGCCATTTACCATATTTCTCTAGAGGGGTGTGAACATCCTTTACAGGTGAATAAGGCCCTGGCCCCACCTCAGTAGAAGCTCCCAACTTAAAAAAGTAACGGGTGCCACTCGACAAACCCTGGACCTCCACACTGGTAATGCTCCCTGAGAAAGAGAGAGCGGCAAACATACTGTCAAGGCCGATCGTTAATCACACACAGTTTCAACTGAGCCAGAAATGTTAGCATTATTTTCAGTGCAGTGAAGTGGAGTCGTGTCATGCCAGCCAACACCCACCATCCCGTGACAGGTTTTCCCACAAGTGCTCAGGCTGGCTGAGGTTGCCGCTGTACAAGATCCTGTAGCTGATGATGATACCGTTAGGCTCCAGCGGAGGGCGCCAGCTCACCAGCACAGAGGAGGAGTCCGGTGTGCTCAGCTGCAGCTCCTCCGGAGGTGTGGAGGGCCCTGAAGGAGAGAGGGGGACTGGGTCAATAATTAGAGCCCAGAAATGAGGCCTCACAGCTGTGGAATGTGTATTGTCTTGGTGGGGGATTTGACATGTTGTGTGACAACCATCTGCGTCCTCGTGTTTGTGCCACCTGGGTACAGGAGAGAGGGGATAGGCAGGGCAACGGGAGAATGGGCCTGGGCTCATATGTGGCAGTGGAGAGCATGACGGGGTGACTGGTGGTTATAATGTCATTAAAGGCGGCCCGCTCTACACTCACTACCCTTACTTGGCTGACAGACAGAGCTGCTGGCCAACATGAGAGCCACTACTAGACCTGGGTATTTAATTACAGCCAGTTATCAGCCATCAATGCCAAAAACTAATTCCCATTTCCGTTAGCCAGGGATGAGCGCACACCCATCTGCCTGCACAAGCACACTCAAGTACACCTTCACATGAATAAATCACAGCAGGGAGCAAGAGTGTAACACATTTACCTTGCTACCAGGAGACTGAGATAAAAATAATGAAAGAAAACTGGAATAATCAGCCTATCAAGTGCAGCTGAATCCGACAAAGGCAACAAAAGCAAAGGTGCACTTTAACATGAACATGATGTACTGTTTTTTCATGCCATTCTTTGTGCTATTGTGATTCTACGATCGAAGGATAAACAATCTTAGGTCTTGATAGTTTGGTCTTTAGAACATAATACAAAGTGACCAAACTGATAGGAGCAGAGCAGAGACTCACGGTCGGACAGAGTAGACTCCTCCACTGTGCCACTGAAGGGTCCCACCACGTCCACTCCATTAGACTGCACTGCCAGCTCATAACGGGTGAAGGGCTTCAACGCCCCGAGCAGTATCTCCTGAGAAGAGCTGCAACACACAAATACGAGAGAATCCTGGGTGTGTATGTGTTATAATCTGTGCTAACAAAAAAATAGTTTACTTTGCTTCACTTAGTCGTGTTAGTTTGTACAATCTGTTGGACCACTCCAGGCTACAAAATTTTTACCTGCCTTCTGCTTGACAATCATTTATGTGTTAAGCTTGCAAGAATTTATCACCACTTTAGACCATGGACTCCGTAGCATTGCTATGATTTACCCTGAATAGTGGAGACAAGAGGGATATAGAGTATATTGCTTGACATTGAGTATCAATGTGCTGGTAGTTGGTGGAGTCATATTGAATATTTGATGTTGGACATAAAACGTTTTTTTATGTAAAGAAATGCAGAGGCCAAGGTGCTCTTCAAGATGAAAAAATGCATAATCCAAAAGAAATGCTTTTCTGGCACTATTAGGCAGAGATGGCAGAAAGGGTATAATAAAAGCCTTTATTTAGTGGCCTTTAGTTTAGTCATTTAATGTCTTCAAATGCAAAATGATTTTGACCTCAAAGGGTCCTCCTTAAAGAAGGCATAGTAAAATAAAGAAGGTCCAACCAAATAAATACAAGTTAAATACCATTTCATACGAAGAGAGCCAGATGAATGTTTCCTTTTGGTGACAATTTTTGTAAGTAATATGCTACATCTAAATGAGTTAATTTGATCCCAGTTTAGGTTTGTGTCATTACTGAAGATGTGTTTACACACAAACACTGTTAAAATGGTCTTTGTGGTGTAAACACTAATACATAGGGAGTTATGTTTATCATCAAGTTTTGAGATATCCAGGGCCCTGTATTTCTTTAACATTAAAGTTGTTCACTTGTTCAACCCGGGTTTCTGACCTAGTGTGATAAGAGACCAGGGAGGCGTTGGTGGTTCCCGCTGGGCTGCAGCGCACTGTGTAGTTGATGATGCGCACATTGCTGAACCGTGGTTTCTCCCAGCGAAGCCAGATGGAGGTGGAGCTGTTGGCTGTGGCTTGGATGCTGCTTGGGGGCAATGGAGGGGGTCGCATGGGCAGTGCTGATGCTTTAACACACACACACACACACACACACACACACACACACATATTGGGTTTGAATCTTGGAAAATAGAGTGTGTCATATTTTATTTGTGTGCTGTGTTTGGTGTGTGTGTGGGGGGGGGGTATAAATGCACACATGCAAGAAAAAATCTTACTTTTGTCATGGGCCTTGTCTGTCCTTCCCTTCCACACAGCAGCCGCTCCATCTACCTGCTTGTTGAAAGCCCAAACCCTCACCTCATACTGCCGGTCAGGCGCTGACACACCACACATACAGCAAGACAGAGAGGGAGAGGGACAAATATTTATACATATTTTACAAGGAAAGCCTCTTACAGACAAGACCTTTCAGTAATCTGAAATGAAGTCAATCCATTTGTGGTCTCTCCAGATGCCGTACAACAAACGGCAATGGCGCTACAAGCTGCATTCAAATGCTTTAACCTGCAGCTTTTGGATGAAATGCGGAAATTACTTTTCAAGAGAGGTGTCTGTCTATTTCCTTATCTTTCAAAAGTAAGATTGCTTGTGAAAGAATGAAATACAACACCTATCTGGCAAGGACACCAGTAAGGACACCAGCATTTCATTTCCCTTGCTCAGAACTGAACAAGGCTACCCAAAAGACAGGTGTACTGGGCAAACATAGCAACTTTTTCTAAATCAAAGTGAGCATAATTTAATTTCAAATTTAGTCAAAAGTAGCTAAATGCAAGTTTAGAGAAATGAGATTGAAAAGTCTGTCCTGTCATTACATCTCAGTGGATTTTGGTGAGCAGAAACACTTAAAAGCACATTATACTTGGAGCGGCCTCTGCCAACGACTTACCCAGCCCAGTGAGGAGATGATACCTGGCCTTCTTACGGAGCCTGATGATGTGGGTATGCGTTGTCCTTTCTCCAGTGGCTGATTCATCAGCCTCCACCTCTCGACAGGACAGCTTGTAGCCAGACACCAGTGTGTGATTGGGTGAGAGATGCCATGTCACATTGAGTGTGTTCACTCTGGCTCTGACCTTCAGCTCAGTAGGGGCAAAGATCACTGAAAGAGATTGGGAAAAAAATAAATAAACATGACATGACCATGAATTCCACATGATTACACTGACACTAACCACCAGACTTTCACTCCAGCTATATTTTGACCTGTTGCTCCCAAAATATGTAAAAGTTTTACTTTATGCCAGTGGAAGCAAACCAGGAGGTAACAGAGCCATTTTAAGGGTGGGTGCAAACGATCAGGGTGCGGAGAGAAACTAAAGCAAACTAAACATTTTCACAGATATTTTGATCTGTCAAAGATATGCAATACTTTCTGAAATGGGTCATTAATGTGATTAATTTCACCCGTGCTGATATATTTGGGAACAATATAGAAACAAAAGGGCTGTGAGATTTGTTTAGAAAGTAAACCAACTGTACAAGATGGAAACATTTGACAGAGACAGTAACTCAGTCAAGCTGTGCACTGGAGTTCACTGTCAATACTATAGTACAGCAGTCTTTTGTTTCAGAGTTTTATTTTCATCATTTTCACGTCAGACACTAATGAGAAAACAAACGAAACATGCAGTTTATTCTCTTGAGAATGCTATTTCCTTTGTTACTAGGTTTCTCCAATATTTCACATTTCACTTCACGTTATAAATGACTGTGACTAAATTGTCACCAACAAGCAGAAAATGAACATCTCAAAAGCTTAAGTGCTTCATAATGAAAGGTTACATTCCCTGTATGGATTACAGCTCTGTCATTCCAAAAATAACAGTACAAGAACAGTGGAAAACCTGGGGCATTTTAGGAATAAACAAATGCTTAACTTCCCAGGCCTGGTTCCTCCTTACCCATGCTGTGGTTGCTGTGATTGTAGTGGGCTAATGTTTGGTGCTGGGCCCACTCAGAGGGAACCCCAAAGCCAACGCCTGTTCCAGCTGCTATCCTCAGTCGGTACGCGTGGTTGGGCTGCAGCTCTCTTAGTGTGAACTGAGTCTCATTACCCCCCACTTCCACTGAGAACACAGTGTCCACTGTGGGAATACACAATACACACATCTATATATATTTACGTATATATTTATATTAGTGGTGTAACGGACCATGGTTGATCCATGATCGGGTATGGATCCCACCCATCCCACAATATTGCTTACATATTGTTTGTGTCTTGTCTGTCATTCTGTCGCCGTTTATTGTTTACACTGGGTACCCAAAATGCAGCCACACATCCGTTTTAAAAGTGGGGGGCATCTTCTATGCTAATTTCACCCTCACACTCTGTCATGCTGCTATGGTGAGCTTTTCACCTCAACGAGAAATATCATCACGTTTTAATATACACACCATGTGTATTTATCACATCATCTGGAGATCTAGGTATTCAGAAAATATGATTCTGCTGCGCAAGCACACTTTTGCATTGTCTATTATTCTTCACCCTATCATACACATTTCTGAGCCATGATCTTTTTGCAGAATCAGAACAGAAACATAATTTCATGAAGTGAAGTAGGCTGTCAATACTTGGCCATTTCTATGGATAACTTGTGTGACGGAACTTAAGTGGATAGATCTGCTGAATTACACTCAGCATGTCACTAAAATGCGCTTTCACTGGCAGTTCAGGTCAACTAGTTGCCCAGCAGGTGTTACTCACCCTGATCCAGGGTGCTGTAGTCAATGCGGTAGCGGGTAACAGCTCCTCGACTGTGCTGCGAGGACAATGGGTGCCACATCAGCCTGATGTCTGTGGGAGAGGTGCTGGCTATAGACAGCTGAGGAGGTGCACTCGGCACTGCAGGAGGTAATAAACAGACAAACCTTAGTGTGTGATGATGCACATTCAAGTCATATCCTGTTATAATATAGCACCATATCAGTGTTTTCTGAGGTGACTGAATAAAGTGACGCTTCATGAACAGATGATGATGCTCTTGAGGTCCTGAGGAGTTACAAGGTTGGCAAGCTAATAACATTTGCTCTGTGTGTCAGTGAAGTATCCCAGGCTGGCCTTATTCTGCCTGTGTATCAGTTTGAATACTCACCGTCCTCCAGCATCTCTACAGTGACAGGCAGGGATGGGCGACTGGCACCCATGGGAGAGTAAGCCACCACAAAGAATGTGTAGGCAGTATGGGGCAGAAGCTCTTTGACATGATACTCTGTGGTGTCGTTGTTCATTGCAAATTGGTACTCCACATTATCTAAGCCTGAAAAGGATGAAAATATTCAAATCCGATAAGTTTTTTAAAGGAAATGTAGACATGCACATGTACGGCTACACACACATGAATAGAGACACACCTGCGGCGCGTTGGCAGTGCACAGAGTAGCCGATGATTTGGTCAGAGTTGTACTCAGGTTTCTCCCAGGTAAGCAGGGCAGTTGTGCTGGTGTAGGGCGTGGCAGACAGGTGGCGAGGAGAGCTGGGCAGACCTTCCCTCACAATGACCGTCAGCTTGGCAGTGGCACAGGCCGTGCCCAGTCCATTGTCTGCTATGCACTGGTAATAGCCCGCATCCTCCAGGGCCAGCTGGTTGATGAGCAGGACTCCAGGGCTTTGGGTCTTCACCCGTCTGAAAGACTTGATGGGCAGGCCGTTCTTCAGCCAGAGCAACACTGGAGGTGGCTCCCCTGAGCTGTTGCACACAAACCTGGCTGTGTTCCCCCGGGAGAGAGACGCTGTCTCTGGGGGCTGGAGAATCACTGGAGGGGCTATTGGAAGTAGGAAACAAAGCTCTGGTTTATAGGGGACACTGATTATATGTGCGCCACAAAATTAACACTGACACTGGGACAAGATTTAGTATTACACTTGAATAAAGTTGGGGGAACTTATAAGAGACAGACTTACAAGTGAAAGTGTCAAAATCAAAGTATCACAGGCTGAGATAAAGCAACTTTTAGTTTTACCCTACACTTCCCATAATGCATCTCGATAGTGTCTATCTATAGGCCCCACCACCCAGTTTGAGATGTCACTTTTAATTTTCTTAGACTTGACAAAGCTTCTCCAGAGCCACAGAAGACATATTAAAACTGTTTGACTAATAACGTGACTTTAAATCAGATGGAGTGCCTCTTTAAACAAGATCACTTTGTAGTTTAGATTGAACTCTCTAAAATTGTAACTCTCAAAAAAATCCAACAGGTTTATCTATGTTCAATTCATTTTGTCTCTAAGTAGCAATTGTTAATGTATCAGTACTGATTTTTGCTAAAATTTTTTGGAGTCTTCGCCCTTAAGCCACAGGGACACCCGAAATGTAGCTGAGAACTTTTTTCTATTACAGCACCATCAGACCTTCAATTACTTGGTGGCTTAAGGGCAAGCTGTTGACATGACTCCTACCAGGCACACGCAGCTCAGCAGCAGCAATGACAAATTCTCTGGTCTTGGGCTTGTTGGCCCGGCAGACATAGACGCCGGCATGGTGACGCCTCGTGTCCCTAATCACCAGGTTTGTGGCGAGGACAACCACATCTGTGGAAATGGGCTTTCCGTCTGATCAAAAAAGAAAGCAACAAAGAACAAATGGAATGTCTCAGACTATAGGCGTTGAGAAAAGTTGAGATCATTTCTCAGGCTTTAAGTTGCCTGAGAAACAGCACAAAAGAGAGAGGCAACGCTTTGAGCAGCAGGAGATTTGACCTGTAATCCCCCAAACTGACCAACAGGTGGCTCTGTGTGTTTTTAGTCTGAGGTGACTGCATTGGCTGTCTGCTAGTCTATGTGTAAAATCATTATCTGTTCACGATATAGAACTCAATCAGTTTTACCACCTTTTTTAATGCTGTACTGTCTACAGAGGATGATCATCACCTACATGGTGAATTATCTCACAATGCCACATAAAAAAAGTAGCGATCAAAGATATGGTCACTAAGCACCAACTACAACATGGCATTGCACATGACCTCCTGAATAGTGTAGTGCAGTTTTTGTATGATGAAATGTTAATTGTAAATGAATGATGCAGCACTACACTCCAAGAAATCTGCTATGTGATGTTGAAAGATAACAGCAAGGAGGTTTTTTAAAAGTAATTTCCACCAGGACTACAGGTGTGTCTGTAAGCTGTGAAGGTGAGAATTAATCAATGTGACAAATCATCTTATGTAAAGCATGGCTCAGTGCACAATAGAACAGATGACCAATTGTGAAGCGACAGCTATTATCAGTAAAACAATAACTTTACACCTACATGTACGCAAATCTGATGTTTGTTCCTTGTTTGTAAGAGACAATGACAGTGCGACAGATGCAGTTAAAAACAAACAAACAGGATGAGAACCACAGAGAGAAAAGAGCATTTGTGAGTGTTACCTTGTCTGCTCCAGGACACCAGTGGCTTCGGCTGGCCTTGTGCCATGCACTCCATCACAGCGGGACGGCCGAGCACGACTGTTGCATTCTGAGGTGGTGCAACAATCGCAACTCTGTTCAGAGCTTCAGTAGAACCTATAACAACAAAATAAGTGCATCCTTTGGTGTTCCAGGGCAGTAAATATTACATACGTTTGTGACTGTAACTGAAAAGTTGCCAGTTTGGGCCAGTTTTCAACTGACTCAGCTTTTAACAATTCAAATACTTCATTATTCACCACTGAAGTGAAACAAAATGGCAATTAAGTCTGCTTATCTGGCTACATCGTTATCCAATCTCTCACTAATCACTGTTGAAGTTTGCTTGTACTACTCCTTACTTAACCCCTGGCATGCAGACACCACAGTAAGGGTGTCCTAAAAAGCTTCAGGGCCCTCTTGGGTGTAACTACAGAATATATATTTGATCTAAGTGCTTGCATTCCCAACAACACACTGAGGATAAATGATTAGACTGAAACAGATTAGATCAACACAGGAAGGTGGTCCTCACTAAGTTCTGTTAAGGGCTCCCATTTCTCCCATCTGGGAACGAGTCATCTGAAGCTATTGCCCAGCTTGTGAATTAACTCACTTTCTTTACACCCATTCTCTACGTGAACTTAAACTTTAAGTTATGATATGTGGTAACCCATTACAAGACAGAGGCATTCCTTGCCCAGTGGTGGCAGTATGCCTATATTGTGTTGACTGCAAACATGCTATAGTCGAGGGATACATTTCCTGTTTTCTATGGACAAACAGGATGTAGTTGATTAAAACTAAAACATAGCTGGTTTAACAGGCAAGGAAACTTCCAGACCTGCAAGGGAATTCGGGTGAAATCCTCAAACCAGATAATCATTTATGTTAGCATTTTGATGGCATAGCCTTCTGATCAGCAGCTAGTATTTCAAAGCAGTTCAGGCGGACGACATGACAACACTTAGAGAGCGTCTAATGACTTCTGGAGTTTTCAGTGACTCACAGACTTCAAAAAATGGCAAGACACTTCATAATAAAAATAGTCCCTATGGTTGGATTATTTGTATCTGGTTATGGCTCAATCAATTCTTATTAGATGGTGGATATGGATATGGAGGTTGTGATGTGAGAGGATTTGATAAGAAACAGGATGGAAGCCCTTTCAGCTCATATTATTATTTACAGGTAGCAGAAGAACAGCCTCAGTTATGGAACTGAGGCACATCTCTCCTCCTCAAGGATGTTATTCAAAGGATATTGTTTTTGGGTTGAATGGGCCAGACAATCATTTGTTGAGTGTGTCTCAGTCCCCAAGGTGCTGCTGGTGTGAGAGGACCTTACTTCCCTGTAATTCCACTCAACCCAGGCCGTCTAATAATGCTAATAACCTCCAGAAAGAGGCCTGGCATTCTGTAAACACATTATAAATTAATCATTGAGATTACATAGAGCAATTATGCATAAGGCTTTCAAGTGGGACTTTCAGACTGCCTCTGCAAGGGCTGTGATGTGAGTGCGCCTTCATAGGTTTTTTTTGTGAATATGATGGTTGTCTGTGCAGTGTAAAGCATCTAAAAAAACTGAGAGGGTAAAGTAGAGAAGAAATGGAAGAAACTAGAAACTGGATATTTAAGGCAGCTGAGTGTTTGATATTTTCTACATCCTTTCAAGTTAAATACGTGAACTTGATGACCTCAACATCAAGCTGTCGAAGCTTTGCTATGGGTGTTGCAGAATTCTATTCATAGGACTCTGAAGTGCGAGCAAGTGAAGTGATTGCATTAGATCTGACATCTGTTACTCGTAATGGCTCGCAATAGAGTCTCAAGTAGTTTCCTCCTAGGTTTCCACAGCAGCAGCAAGACCACCTAGGTAATATAGCACAGAAAAATCTGCCTCTGTGTCTTTATTGGTATGAAAATACGTTAAAATACAGTATATATTTATACACCGTTTCTTAACTATCCAAAGTGTTGTGGCGCACCTGTTGTGTATATTTTGTCCTCAAATCATCACATTTAAACGTGATGGTGAGTGAAATTGAAACTGAAAAACTGAGGACTTGAAAGGTGGCTGTAAAGATTAAAGGGTAAAAACTCCAAATGTTGCATCTGACTCACTTGCTTTGGCCTCATCTGTCTGTCTCTCTCTTTCTTCCTTTTTGTATTTCTGTTTTAAAGACTCAAAAAAGGACACAATGGTTTCTACAGAGCAGCCAATTACTGTTGACTAATCTTTCGCTAGCTTGCTACAGAGGCAGATAATATGATATGGCTTTAATGTGGGCTGCCTAATGGTGAACTCACACCTCACAATACTCAAATATGTACCAATACTGTGCATACAGTATACTGAAAGATATGTCTTTATTTGCATTACTTATTTAATTTAATTGTCAGCCTTGACTTTCATTGATTGGACCACGTATCATTTTATTTTTTGTAATGATATTCTGAATTAATGTACAAGACATTTTAAGGATTTGAGTTCTTCTTGTTTGTGGTGTTAAGGTACTCATTTTTATCATAGCAAATTGATTCATTAATGTTTTCCCACAGACCAGCACTTTCCTACTTACTTATGACTTAAATAAAGTTTGTACCTGAATTGCATAAGTTGTCCTGCCCCTATTTAGTCACCGACTTGGAACAATGAACAATTTGCAGCTCTTCAATCAAACAGGGAGAATGAGATGAACAAACCAACAGTGCCAGGTGATTATAAGAGGCTTAATTGAAAGAGAGAATTGAAACCCCGATGCCGGTAACCTTATAGAAGGCGACTACTGTCAGTCAGATAATAAAAATTTCTCGATGTGTTGCAAGAAGTAAAATCAGGACAGTCAGTGTTAATGTATTGCATTTAATTCACAACCCCAGCTTCAAGTGCTTAACATAATAGAAATGCTTTCAATAAGAAATGGAGAGGGAATATACAGTAACATTGCATAAAGGACCAATGGCAAAGTTCAGTGAATTTTTAGTAGGCTGAAGTTGTATTAAAAAGGCAGTTGAGAACAGTTTTCAACCACAAGCAGTCAGAGTTGAGAAAACAAGCGTAATTACACTGAATCCTTCACTTTGCTTTGTTTTAATTAAGGGAACAATTAGTAGGGCGGCCCCCGGGTGACCTGAGTGTTAGACATCGATTCAGACAAGCCATTTTAGTTCTAAACCACTGAACCTTTTCCTAATTGTTTTCAATGTTTAACGCTGAACTGAACATCACCCTATGCACCCTATGTCAAAATGTGTTTTTATCTGCTGTGCAACATGATAAAAACAGTGACAAATGTAAGTTTTTTTTAATGAAACAAATATTCTATTCTGACATCCTCAGGAGCCTCAGCCACATCATAATATGACGGCCATGACTAAGGAGCTCAAGTGACTCAATGTGGTTTATCCACCCATTCTCCTCTTTTTGAATATATTGTAAGGAAATTAATGGAGAGATTGGTCTAGATACTGTATGCTCCCCATTCACTGATAGCATCTATGTGTGGAAGATCAGCTATTCTCACAGCTGACGTTACTAGAGTCCTGGAATAATCAGAGGAAACACAGCATTCACAAATGTATTATCAACGAGAACAGATCCACTGTAAAATATTGCTTTTGCTTATCATTACTTCACTTGGATGTGTGACTTTTACTGTGCAAAATGATGTCTCTGCAGAGTTTGACTCTAGAAACCAAAGTTTCTCTGTGCTCATCTCATGGTATGGTATGCAACTTACAAACATGTGATGTTGAAACTTGAAACCTGCAAAGCACATACACTGAGAAATGACTTTTCAGTTTAGTAAAAGACATGTCAAGTAGTTACAACTTTTGAAATGAAAAACATTTGGATGTTCATAAATTCTGGATTTTCAATAATAATAGTATTAATAATAAGAGTATTTTTTGGTGGAACAACCATGTCAGTGACAAATTATCATTCAAGGAAAAGTACTTTACATGTCTTAGAAACATCCACTTCATGACAGACAATATGCTTTATATTTGGATCTAGTCTTAAAACCAACATTCAAGTTTTTTGATTGGCATGGCAGCTCCCAGCAGGGCCTGGCTGCCTAGTAAAACACTATACAGCATTGCAACAGGCCTTACCTGTGGTGACAGTGAGCCTGGCCTCATGACTGATGTCCTTCCTGGCAGAGTTGGATGCAACACAGCGGTAGGCACCCTCATCCTCCTTGGTCACCTCCAGAATCTGGAGCACCCCGTTAGGAAGGGAAATGAACCTGCTGCATACAGGGCAAAACAGAGGAGAGGTGGCAGAGGCAGAAAAAGAGAAAAAGAATTGAATAAATGGCTTAGTGCCCTGTAGCATGACAACATCTAGCTGATTAACTCTGCGGGGATCCTGCTGGGTCCTCATAGGACTCCTTTGTTCAGGAAAGAGGGGTTGCAATTATTAGTCATGCAATTAAAAAAATTACTTAAATACAGTAATATAAAGATGAACGTTATTTTCTGGACAGAGACTAGCAGTTGAACTTCACAGAAGCATAGAATACCCCAAAGCAGTATATAAAAAAAGTGATTACATTTGTTTATTTGTCTCCACTTCTACCTCCCTTATGGAGGTCAGGTTCCAGACATATTACTCGTGGCCTGCATGTCAGGCCCCCAGGGCAGGCAATGTAATGCCATCCCACAACCTCTTATCACCTTTATCATAGCCTATTAATCCCACTGAAATTGCGACCAGTGGTAGTCTGTCTAGAAGGGAGGGAGGGGAAGGGTGTGGAGAGGAGGTAAGAGAAAAGAAAGAAGAAGAATACAGAGACAGTGGATGGGAAAAACAAAGAATAAGAAAAGAAAGACATAATGAAAGGAAGACAGGGAGCCATGAATGAAGAAAACATGGGGATAGAAGAGTAACAGAAATAGAGATGGAAAGGGGGTTAATAGTGAAGAAAAAGAGTGAGAGATGTAAGAGAGGAAAAAGCACATTAGAGCAAGAGAGAACAGAGAGAGAAAAAGGCCAGTGTTATATCAGCCACCCCTTGGCTCATCTTTGTGAGAAGCCATTAACGGAGGTGGGAGAACCACATCCCACCAATAAGACCTTATAAGCAGTGAGCTGTTTGCAGGTCATGCAGGGCTACAGCAGCCATTAGCACTTAGTCCTGTGCAATAGGGCTGAAAACAAATTCCAAGGCTCCTGGGCCGGCAGAGTCACACTGAAATGTCAATATCGTTAAGTGGCCCAGTAAATGAGACAATTTGTGAGAGACAGCTGACAGAGGGTGACCTGTCAAGGATGTGTACATTTTGTTTAATGTTTTTTTCCTTTCTCTGTAAGAGCACAAAATGTTCATAGTGAGTGGTTTGTTTTAAACTCAAGGTGATTCTTCAGTGCTCTTTCAAAAGTTGCTGATATACAGAATATTTACTTTGAAAATAGTTCTGCTCCACTCCGAACCTACACAATTTCCATAACGTGACAATTGGAAAAGAGTAAATACACTTGATGAGACTGTATGTTTTGTTAATTGTTAATTTTAGTAGTAAGTGTTGCATTGTATAGGCAAAGTCACAATATGCTTGGCAATCACTGGCCCCTTCACTGAAGCTTGTAACTGCATCCAATATACTAGTTATGCGGTAATGGGGGAGACTGTAATTAAACTGCACTAAAATAATTTGCATGTACATGTATGCATGTACATTTATGCTTTATATATTTAATGAACATAGTAGAACCAAACTGGATGAAAAAAATGGTTTTGTGATTGTCCAGGTACATGTAAAAACCTAAACTAAAACTAAAGGACCTGAAAAATGCAAATGCAATCAACAAATAATTCCTCAGTGCTGTCCCTCTACCTTCACATTTATTTTCAGGGTGATTCTGGAAAGGATAAAACTACTTTATAAGTTCATTATTCCATTAATGTCAGTGTAGAGTGACTAATGACAAGACTTTCCACCTTTCACCTCGGAAATCCAAAGCAAATATACAAATATATTTCTATGTAGTATTTACAGCATTTTTTGTGTGGTGGAACAAATCTAAAATCACAGCGTTGAAGAAGCTTAACAAAGTCCTTTTGCTATGGCCTGTGTTTCCATTTCTGATCATCTAAACTCAAGCAACTGAGCTGCAAACTGACACAATATTTGCTATAGTCATTAACTAGTGTTCATCTGTACCAGCATGTAATCTTTTGAAAACATCATTTGGATTTAATCAGTTTAATGAATTTAGCAGTCCTAGCACTTTTTTAATTTACGAATACAGCCCCCATTTTAAACCCAAAAGTCTGGGCCACATCCAGCTTGAGTTACTGTAAAAAGTAAAGCAAATTCACAACATATTTACTGATAGCTGTGTGTGTTTCCCAAATTAAGTATTGCACTTAATTTAAACTAGAAAGTCATGTTCCATGTGACTCATCATGTCACCTATTTAAATTAATTGATACCGTGATGTAATGGACAGTATTAATATTAATGATCACATAACACATAAAGACAAAAGTATCAGGTTAAAAGAAGAAGTAACTAAGACATATAAGACCAACAAAACAATAACGAAATGTATGTGCATTCAAAATAACTGGGTTGAAATTGTAGAAATCCTAAAACAAACCTCAGTTATCACATCGCTCCTTTATCGATATATAATAAAGTAAGAAAACTACAGAAAAACAAAAGATAAGATAAGATAAGAATAAGGAGAACATGAAGGACAACAACAACATCACATTGTGGGGTCACCTTGTCTCCTCAGGTACAGCCACTTTGTCCTTTTCCCAGGTAATAACAGGTGTGGGTACTCCCTCAATCTGGCACTCGAAGCGGGCAGCTCCCCCAGCGAGCACTGTTTGTGGTGATGGCTCCTGATGGAACTTTGACAGACCTGAGGGTATAGAGTTGATAGAGGTCAGGGGGGTAATTATCTTCTATTTTGCCCAGAGGACACACACAAAAATGCACCATTTACAAACTAATGATTGTGTGGAAATTACTTTTTATTAAATGATCTGAAATCTGTGTGTCTACTTTTAGTATGATGAATAGGACACTTTGATGTAGGTTTGATGTAGATTATGTGACCGAGCCCCGGTCTACTATTGGTCTACATCTCCCTTTCCATCAGAGTCCACATGGACAGCATTAGAACACATACCAAGTACACTAAATTAAATGGGCTGCAAAACCAATGTGGTCACAGGGGGAAAAAGGGTTCTATACACTAATTGCGGGTTCAAGACTTAATACAACCCTATAAAATTAAAACTGACCCATTCACAGTTTTTGTTTAAAATATTCAGTATCTTTATTGCACCTGGCTAACTTTAAAAAACTTGCTCAAGTAAATTTGGTATCTGTGCATAACACTAATACTGTCTCTATTTCACAGACTTCACAGATTATTGTATTCAGGCAATTTTAGGGATTTTAAAGGTACTGTTTAAATTGTGTAATTTAATTAAAGATTTGTTCATTTGTTCCATTTAAATATACTTGAATGTCCTGATTAGGAGAAATGTGGGGATTTAATCAGGCTTGGCAAGAATTTTTCTCTCTCCAGGTCGTGTCTTGGCAGGGCTCCAATTTTCCTCACACACACACACACACACACACACACACACACACACACACACACACACACACACACACACACACTGGACAACCTCCTACTGTAGGTAATACTGAGCACCAGGAGGCAGCAGTGAGCACACTCTCAGGGCCTCTAACCTCTGACCCCAACAGGCTGTTGGCGCAGAGAACAAAACCTTGGCTTTCCCAGTCACTTTGCCTGTAGCTCTGACTGAGGAGTAGAGAGTTGGGGGGTGGATCAAAGGAGAGTGCAAAGAAAGACGACAGAGAAGGCAACCAAAGGCAGAAAGAAAGCAGGGAGGTAACAGGAAAGAAGGAGACTCCATATCCCACTGATATAACCAGGCTAGAAAATGGCAGAAAACCAATTTTAGCCACATAATAGATCCCTATATAATATAATTTTCAGTTGATGTAACAAAACATCCTGTTGATGCATCTGCATAAATAAATGCATTTTAAGGCAAAAATTTTTGTTAATTCAAATTCGTTCTTTCCGGTTTTCTGTATCTTGTTCTGTAACACATTAACTCCATGTGGAGCTAATAGCAGAACTGATTTAAACCAGACTTCTGCAGCATGAAAACATGTAAAGATCATCCCTCAGAGTTACATACACAAATCTACCTTGCAGGAAGGACAAAGTTGATTCAAACATTTCAAAGAGCTACTGGTAAAAGAGATACTGTTTTATTATATAAGTGATCACATGTGAACGAATTACACAGCTGTATTTTTTTTACATTATATTATATTAGATGTAATTTGCTTTTCAAAATATTTATATATACACCAGAATAACACTACTCACCACACTTTATAATGTTTTATTATCCACAAGATAGTGTTTTCTCATAAAGTGGTCAATTTCCATTGTCAGAACTTACCAAACTGTGCTGCATTGAATCTAACTGATTATGAAAGCATTTCTAATGGCGACAGGGCAGCACTGGATGCTCTTTATTTTGAGTCACTCTAATTTGGAACAAGCCACGCTTACTGCACGATAACGCCATGTGACTGTGTCTAATGGAGCCGGACTTCTTTTTGCAACCAGAAGAGTTGCCCCCTTCTGGCTGTTCGATAGAATGCAGGTTTAAGGGACAGTTTGCTGACACGAAGCTTTCCGCTTGGGTTGAAGGGAATGTCATCAGTTTTTTCTGGTTTTCGGTCATAAACCTGATCATGGCACCAGTTAGAAGGTAAGTTAAGGGATATTACAGTTCATCCTGAGGGGGCGTGGATTTCTGTATCAAATTTCCTGGCAATAAGAGTGGAGACACAGTGGGTTGTCATCTGACTTTAAACAAACAAAACTATGGAAGGGAGGACTGACACTGAGAGCCTGACACTAGCTCTCAAACTTGGTTCTGCTTTAACATAAAACCAACAAGAGGAGCCATTTTCAGAGGTGGGTGCTCAAACTTGCAGGTAATCACATGGGCACCTCAAGATTTCCATACTCAAGCTTTCCTAATTTTTTTAGACAAGATTTCCTCCAAACCACTGTAAACTTAACGAGAAACAGGGTAGACTATTCCACGTTACTCTAACCCTATCACACCAACTGCTAGACAGGAAACAAACTGGCCATCTGTGTTTTCCTACTGCGCTGAGGGAACAAAGTTTCTCAATGAGTACACAGAGGCTGACACACTTGCTTGGCCATAGTAGCAGAAAGCACTAGATTTGATTAAAAAAACCCAGCTATGACTGTTGCGTAGCAAGCTTTGCAGAGGTGTTGATGATTAACCCCTGCCACTTCTAGCCATTACCCAGCATGATGCCCTTATGTAAACACACCACCTGTAACACTGTCAGAGAGTGCCTGACAGGGTGCCAGACTCACAGCGTGTGTGTGAGCATGTGAGCGTGTGCACGTGTGTAAACTTGAGTGCATGCGGGCCAGGCTATTTGTACCTCAGTGTTTACTCTAGTGTGTGCCATGATGCCTGTACAGGGACTTCTTGGACTGAATCACTGTGTCTATCTATCTATCGAGTGTCGGTGGGGAGTGTGAGTGGTGAACAACAGCTGATCAGCCAGAGTGGACATTAGCCGACGTTAATGCAAAGGGGGCAGGGGGGTGTTCTGAGAAGACACTTTGCCCACGCTGTGATGGAACAATGGCCACTGGCTGAGCTTCCACATCCGCTCTGTGAAAGCGTAATGATATTAGCCTTAGTCCATGTCCCCAAGCCTGCAATGAAATTCCATGTCAGGTCCGTCCGCCACCGTGCCGAACACACACTTAGATGTTGCATTGTTGACACAGCACCTTGGGCACAGCTCTATGTAATTTATGTAACCCTTCGTTGCACTACATCTCTCCTTTCTTTGCTCTCTCGCATTACTCTCTGGCCCTTGACTTTCCCCCAACTCTTTCTCTGTCTTTGTCCGTCCCTCTATCTATGCCCCACTTTTTGGCCCCACAGCTATCAGATTGCAGCGTTTTTCCCCTCCCCTTGTGCAAGCAGATAATTCCACCCATGACCTCTTGGCTACCCAGCTTTCAGGCTGACTTACAGTGTGAAAATCCATCAATCGTGCCTCAAGCTTCAACAGATACTTGTAACAGCTACCGGAAAGTATGTGCAATATGAAATGTTTATTTCCTATTGAAAGTAATCGGCCCTTTTTAACTTTATAAAGTTGCTCAACTCCGTCAGTTTTGACCTGCCAAACAGCAGCATTGACAAAAGGAAGCCATTTACGGTGAATGTGTGATTAAAAGTGATTTTCCTACTCACCTTTCCATCTTTTCATAGGCATGGGGTGCATAGAGTTTTTGAGACTGGCTGCCTCCTAATAATAGCTTAAAATCATGTGATTCTCATGTGAGTTGAAAACACAGATCAAATAAAGTCCAAAACACAATATCCATCTTTAAAGCTCGAAATTAAAAGAAAACGCACTGTTCTAAACATCCTTTATAAAAATAAAAAAAAAACTATCAGCAGCCGGTTTGTTTTGGAGGAGGGAGCACACTCTTTATGGTTATGACATCAGCGCTTTGATTGAAATGGGTTGCGAAAGCTGGTAGGAATTAGGAAATATTGACATTCACCTCAGCAGTCCCATAATGAGGAAGGTTAATTGGTCTAATTAACATTAAAATCAGCTTTTACTTCAGCATCATTTACCCATGGAAGTATTTGGGAAATGTAACGTGCACACTATTTTACCTCTGGCATTTTGTCAAGAGTAGAGAGTTAGATTAGAGAGTTGGAGACTGAAATACTGTAGACATATTTAAATATTTTATCTGCATTTAAAGAGGGAGCAGGTCTCTTTCACTGTCTCTCTTGCTCTCCGATACATTCACATGCTTTTAGACAAGGCCACATGCATCATATATACTGCGACAGGGAAAGAGGAGCAGGTGGGTTTCGTAATGTGTTTTCACAGATGTGATCTCCGCTGAAACTGAAACTGAAGGTCATTCTTAATGGTCTCTGAAGCCTTTCCTTTCACCATTACCACAAACCCTTTCCTTTTCTGCCTTCCCACCATTCACCCAACATCCCCCCTTCCTCCCCTTTACACCTTATTGTCCCTCAAACAAGAGATCCTCATAAATAGGCATGTGACAGCTGACAAAAGCAGGGGCATCCACAAAGGATGCTGTCTCATTTTACACAAAGCTAATGACTAAATAAAGACATAACAGTGTGAGAGAAAGAGGCCTCATTGGAAGGGCGATTAAAAAGCTACTGCCTGTCCTCTCGTCCCTCAAACACCTATATTTTCGTTGATTTATACGATATTGGAAAAAAATATACATTGCAAAAAAATTTTTTCCTGTAATATAAATTACAAGATGGAAAAATACAGCAGTTTTCACCAGATACATGCAGTGAGTTATGTACAGATGAACAATTAACAATCGTAATTTCATCATTAGGGTAACTTTAACCAGCACTGGGATGAGGTGCCACTCATAACGGGAATACACGCAGCTGTCTCGCATAACTGCCTCTAGCATCTAGGCAACATTAGCTGTGACAGGGTCGCTTGCATGTTTACAGGCAGGTGATACGCACACTCTGCATGCACAGTGATCAGTTTGCTATGTGCTCTGGTGAAGGGTGCACTTAAAACGTTTTCAGGTTGTTGCAGGTGACCAGGGGGGCTGCTTTGCTTGTTTGATAAATTGATGAAGTGTACCCCTTCACCAGAGCACATTGGGAACTGATTAAACTCATTGTATCCATGAAACCTTAAATCAGGCCAAATTATGTAATATTAGGCGTCCTGGAGTTTTCTTTTTGTATCAAGCAGCAAAAAAGTTGCAGCATGACATGTTTGAGTTAATTTGCCCTACTTGACATTGCGCATCCTGCAATGTGACTATTGCCGTTCGGATGTCAGGGCTCAAATGATATATAGCGCGGCCCTAAATTCCACCCGCTCTTCCTCTTTCACTCTGATCCAGAGTGAACAGTTGTTTAAGAGTGTACCTGTTCCCAAGACACTTGTTAGTGCTCCACCAGAGGATCAGTCTCCTATCTGAGGCAGAGGAGAACCAAGTTCATCTCCATCCATGCAAGGAAATTCCCTTGACAAATCACATTGCTGTGTGTGTGTGTGTGTGTGTGTGTGTGTGTGTGCGTGCATGCGTGCATACCCAACTAAATGTTTTCAATGGATGAATGAATCAAACCAACATTCTTTCCATTAGATCAGTGATGCTTCAATTTCAAGCATTTTGACTGGCCCAACACATACATACACACCACCATGCATGTGCATTGGCAATAAAGTAGCTGTAGTATACATTTCATATGATGCAATAACAACTTTTCAGTGCTTCTTCTCTTATCCCTTGTCATTGTTTCGGGCTTCATTCTAACTTAATGAACACTACATTTGCAGAAGCACCTTAAATAACAATTACCTTCAATACATTTTTCCAGAGGTGATGTCTCTAAATGTCTAAATGTCTGTTTTTGTGTCGAAAACCTCACAAAACATGCATTTTACTAAAGTCTAAAGACTACAAAAAAGCAGCAAATATGCACATCTGAAAACCTGCTACAAGTAAATGCTGGAGATTTTTCAATTAAAATTATCAATCCATTATCAGAATTGTTGCAGATTCAGTTTCTGTCAATCAACTAATCAATTAATAATTGTTTTTAATTTAAATATTTTTTAAAAAGAGATATAGAGATATCTGCTGTTATACTACCAAACTCCAGAGCAGCTTCCTTGCTAAGGCTATGACACTCCTCAATTCATCCTCAGCACTCCACCATGTAAAATAATTTAATTTCGGGATATTTGTAATTTTTGTATATAACGTTTGCTCTTTGTGAGTGCCATAAAGGGACCTACAAACCTTATATAACCCAGTGTTGTAAAATGACAAACAAATCTACCTTCTTCTAGCTTCTACCTTAATAATCATTTCAGCTCAACATGCAAGCTTTGATTGGCATTCATTTTAGGACATTTAACTAACTAATCAAAATAAATGCCGACATGGAATCATACATGACCATGCAAGAGCCCTGCATGACTTGCAAATGTATCGGCTGGACACGTACTTGCTAGGAGAACATTTATAGTCCGACTGGTCAGGGCTCCAAGGGCACTGGCACTCACACAGCTGTAGCCCCCCTCCATTCCCTGGGGAGGTTGGCCATCCTTAAAGGTGGGCAGCAGGAGGAGGGATCCGTTGGCCAAATTCTGCAGGAAGTCACCGAGAGGCAGAGGATGGCCATCCTGAAGCCAGGTGACATTGAAAGGTGCATCGCTGACACCGAGGTTACATTCCAGCAAGAGGGGCAAATCTGGCTCCAACACTACATGGCTCGGACCAGCCCCACAGCTCAGCTCCAGCGAAACAGGCCTTTCTGTGGGGGACAAAGAAAGAGAAGTTTGTTAACCATGCTCTGTACCTACAGCAGTCTAGGTTAAGATAATTTCATGTTTATTCTAAAAAACAAGTCCCTAAATGTTCACATTCTAATGCATTTGTATAACAATTTATAGATTCTCAGTGCAACACACTGTAGGAACCTTTCATTGTTCTGTGAACTATCAGAGTGCAACTGTTATAGCTAAGTGTAAATTAACTGATGCACTTTTCTTCTTCATTGGTCCAAATATTCATACAACTGTATAATTTGTCATATTTGGCTATTTATATCTACTGCATCAATTCAAGCATTTGGCAATTTGTCATTTTATGACATATCTTAAATAGAATCAATAGTGTTGGCAGCACAGATGAATAGGGGTAGTGCATTCCAGAGGCAGGGTGTTTTGGGGACAGAGAGGAGGCCATACTCAGAGGAGAAGCTGTGAAAATTAAATGGGCGCACGGCTTGAAGGGATTTGCATGTCAGCAGCAGGACATTAAAGTCAGTGAGAAAGAGAGGAACCCCTGCAGTGAGACGTTGGTGAGCTGGTGTGAGATGAGCAGCAGAGTGCTACATAAACTGCAGTCAAAGGAGATGTTGTTGTTTAACCACAGCAATGTTGCCATGCCAAAACTTCAGCATACTTATTTTGAACAATTTAATAACTCTTCGGAAGTTCAGTGTTTTCTTAAATGCAACATCATATTGAAAGAAAGTTGCAAATGAAATGAAAATGAATGAATTCATGGTATCAGACAACACAAGAACATCGGTGTGTTATTCCAACTGCACTTATCTTCCAGATGTTTTAGACACTCCTTTACAATATTCTTTATCTCCTATCTTTATATTACTGCATCTTACCTCTTTGCTCTCTATTTTACAACAGTAAGTGCAGTCAAAGTTTTAATTCAGGTCGGTGAAGAACAAGGTGGAAGGAGAAAATTGAAAAAAAAAAGAAAAGGCTCTCAGGAGAAAAGCGAATTAATGAAAAGAGAAGAGGGGAAAGATCAAGAGAGATTTGGAGATAAAAAGAACTGAAGACTCCAGATCTTGACTGACAAGACGGCAGTCAATTATCTTTTATGAGGAGGCAGGATAGCATTAGACACATAAGGAAAAACGTGAAAAAGGGTCAATAATAGCTCTTCATTGCATTACTTTCAGTAGACTACACATATTTTCCTATGCATGATCTAATGCTAATGCTTTGAATGTATGCTTATTTCTTAATACATTATGCATTAACATAACATACTGTGTAAAAGAAGATTAACATCTGTTTTGTTATCTGTGTAATAGGAGGAGAAAATAATTTTCTTTGTAAATGGACAATACAGTTACACTTTCTATTATTTCCAAGCTAACTACTTCTCTTAGTGCTCAACAGCACTTCCATGAAACATTAACATTAAAGGAGCTCCAGTCAGAAGAAATAGTAATAAAACACTGCAAAATATATGCACAACAAATAATGAGGAAAATGAAACAGATTTTACTTGAGCATTGCCATTTTAGTACATTTGAACTGTCATAATACATAATGAAAAAGTAATAAAATTTGAAAAAAATGAATCACCACTGCAAACACTGCATCATCATATCCCTGTTGGGTACTTGTTCTTCTTTATCTACTGTATATAGTGTTTATATTTGATCATACTATGTATTGTCATATAGCCGGCTTAGTTCTGTATTTTTCAACGTTTTTTGTCCTGTTTCGCTGCTGCTGAGTGCCGACTGCAGTTTGCTCGCTCAGGACTAGACCAATTTCAAAAAATGTTGTCTAAATCAGTCACATAGGCAGAAAACATGGGGAAATAGGTTCAAGTTAGTTTCTTTAAATGTATTTTTCATGAAGTTATTATTGTACAAGTAATATCATTTAAACTTCCCATATATAGTTAATTTGACAAAGCTCTTTGTGAATTCAGCTGTTTTCTCACATATGTACAGGCGCGCGCGCACACACACACACAAACACACACACACACACACACACAAACAGGTTTCTTTTTTCTCCAGCATTGGATTAATTAAGTTAATGGGAGATAGAATTTTTTCCTTGATTAAATGAGGCCAGACCCCCTACCATCACTTCCTGATGATAATGCTGAGAAAGGCTGCACAGCGCTCTGGCACACACACCTACACACACACACACACACACACACACACACACACACACCATGGAGACAACATAAACATGCATGCACACACCCAAAACCCATACAAATAAAATAAGGAACAAACAGGCACAGATTTAGAGAACACCAAAACATGTTCACAGTCTTGTCAGAACAGAAACACTCGCGTACAAGCTTGCCAACACACGAGACAGATCACCTCCACAGCTCCTCTTTTCCTCTCTCCCATTTCAACTAATTAGGCCTCATTAAGTCATTAGAACATTAGCAGCCATTTGCCAGCTCACTGCCAATGGTTTCACTTGGCGAGGGGTAGGGATCATTCTGTGTTGGACATGGAAGTTATTTATGACTCACATAACTGGAGTAGATGGTAGTAGTGGGATGAGGAACATGCAAAATAGGGAAAAAATCTGGAAAACACTCATTTGCTTTCATCAAGGTTTTGACATCTTAAGCGGTGTAAAACATAATAAAAGATAGGTGTCCAACCTAGAAAAGTTAATGTAACATTTTCAGAACTGAGGAATGGCATGACCTACTATCCTTTTAAAAAGTAGGCACGGTAAGCATATCACATATTTCAAGTAATGGCTATTTCATCGGGGAATAAAACACTTGATATCCACACACACATTTGCACCAGAAACCTCAATATGCCCTAGATTTGGGGCCGTGTGTGGGCACACACACATATACACGCATTTTCACATACTAACATAAACACGCACGGACCCATTCCAACACACACAGACGCTTGCACGCCCGCACGGTAACTGTCAGTGTCTCATGAGGACACAATGTGGTAAAGAGGGGGGGATCTGTGAAGTGGCCATTTTGCCATTTTACTGTACAAATGGGAGCTGCTGGAAAGGACAGGGTGCACTCTGGGATATAGTAGCGGCTGTGCGATCTCACTGAGCTGCAGTGAATGGATTGTGATGGCACTGCGCCAAGCAGTTCATAGCTTACTCTAAGTGCAGAGAGGACAGCGGTTTACAAAAGGGAGAGAGAGGAAAAAACAGGAAAAAAGATACAAGGAAGCAAAAATGTCACACATAAATTATACATTGCACCTTTAGCCGCCGACATTTTTGACCCTTTATCTGTAATTTGAATAAAGTAAGAAAACAGTGGTTGTATGATTCCAGAGATTTTGTGAAATTAAATCACATGTTTGGTGTACCTCCATACTACTGCCATATATCAGGTGGAGAAATGGATAGACGTAAGAGTTTGTAGATTTGTAGTCCTATTGACAATGAAAGAGAGCCAGCCACTGAAACAAAACACATAAAAACAGAAACACCCTGTCCATGTCTGTCACTAAGACAGAGAAAAAGAGAGAAAGGGGAGGAGAAATGAAGAAGTTAGAGTGGCAGTGCTCTCGATACCATCAACACTTATTCCGCTAGTCCATTTCTGTTAATGGATCACCTATTCACAAAACTTTTCGGAGAACAGAAGGAGAAAGAGGAGGAGAGTGACCAAACACAACAAATATTTCACCCAGCCCGGCTCACTGTCAACAGAGAGTGGACACCCCGTGACCCGAAGGCCACAGCTCAGGTTTCCACAGCCTCTAAAGTGAAGCTATACAATACCTCAGGCCTTTCAGGAACTAGGTACACACACACACAAAGAGGCCTGAAAGAGTCCAAAAATGGGTGCTCCGAGTAATAAATAAAATTTTCTTTTTACTCGAGGCAGCAATTCCTCAGACAAATTTCAGAATGAGTCTAATTTACCAAGTGACATTCATACCCCACTTTCATGTCTATGACAGCCATGTCTTTGTAGATGGTTTGTGAATCAACACATCTGTTTTACACAGTTATTAGCTTGTCCTGATATACATCATGTTGGCTTATATATATTTATATATCACAGCTATATAAGATGGCACTTAAACAAGAATAACCGTGAAAGCAAGTCTTTGAGGCTGTACTTTGGCACAGTGGTGATTTCAGCTAAATGCTAGCATCAGCATGATAACATGCTCACAATGACAATTCTAACATGCTGATGTATAGCAGACATAATGTTTACCATGTTCACCATCTTAGTTAGCATGCTAACATTTGCTAATTAGTACTATCTGAGGCTGATGGGAATGTCATTAGCTTTTGGTCATAAATCAAAGTATAGGAAAAATTGACCTGATGGTGGTACTGGATGAAACGTTAAGAGATCACCAGTGATGATAATCCATCCAGAGGGGAACATGGATATCTGCACCAAATTTCATGGCAAGCCATCAAATAGTTGTCATGATATTTCACCAAAAAACTAAATTGTCAACCTCATGGTGGCGCTAGAGAAAAAGTCAGGCTATCCCTAAAGTCAGCAGACTCAATTTCATGGTAACATATCCAATAGTTGTTGAGATATTTCAGTCTGGACCAGAGTGGTGGACTGACCAACAGCCTGACATTGACATCCATAGAACTACACAGCTAGCATGGCTAAAAGCTGGTTTAATCATACAGTGTTACACGAACAAGCGCCGAGTAGACAAAACGAGGTCACATACTTAAAAAAGTGCAGAATGCAAGGTAAGAAATGGAAAGAGTGGATACGAGAAAAAGAAAGAGACCCAGAATTACAGAATAAAATAGAGGACTGAACAGTGCAGATAGGATTAGGGCAGCCTTAGGATTCAACTGAAAGAGAACAGCAAAATGTGATTACAGACGCTTTTGTTGAGAGGGACCACTAACACACTCAAAGCAGTGACAAACAGACTGCCTTGTACCTCCTGCTAAATTGACACAGCGGCAGTAGATAATTGCTATGAGTTGTTCCTGAATGATGTTAGCAATGTTGTATTGTACATGTGGGTGG